TGGTAATATGCACCAAAGAGTTTCAATCGAAATCTACGATTCCTTTATCTAGAAAGAGTTTATAATTATGAATTTCTAGCATTTTACTGGTGAGTTTAAGGAGCGGAGATAACAAGTACTGTTAGGCGGCAAGATGACTTTTAAACAACATTCCGATCGTCTGTCACTTGCTGCGCTTCAAGACCGTGGAACTTCTTTTGAAATAAATCAACTGATCAAACAATTTTTTCGGTTAGTCTGAATCAACATTTCGACAGATCTCTCTCTTCCATTTCAGACCAGTGGAAAATCGGTGCATTTTGACTCCTTTGTTCATTTTGGGAGAGGGTTGCTCGATATTAATAAAAGTGCACTTTCTTTATTATTCACAAGGCCCTCTTTCGATTAAAACCTCAAGCCTGGTTCAATGTATTGTGAAATGTTTCCAATTTTTCTTTTTTTCTGATCTGAATTTGCTTGCCCGACATCAGCGAGGTACGTGCAAAAATGTAAACCTCTGCGTCCCTTTAGTTTCAGCCCAGACTGAATCATATGAACACCTCCGCAAAAACTTTGAGACGGGTAGGGCAACACCAAGTGTTAAGACGGCCGCGTGTTGACCATATGGGCATGCTAAAACGGAAGGAGAAAATGTTCGAGATGCAGAAAGGGTCGAAAGAGGATTAATAACAAAACCATAATTAGGTTTATTTTTAAATGGGACCAATATTGACAAAATTTTTATTTTGACCGACCTGGCTTTCGAAACCCCGCCGAGACACTTCCTGTTTTGTATTGAATCGGTTTCGAAACTTGTATGTTTGCTTTGCAAAGATGATAGTTCCACGTGGGAAACTGATGAGGTGGGCTTAGCAATTGTCCATATGATTTATTCCGTTCACAGCTTTTGTTGTCGATTGTCGTATCAGATAAAAGAGAAGGATTACGACTGCTTTGTGACTGACTTTAACAAAGAAACGGAAGTTTTTCCAGAGTTCTTTTGAAAGTCAATCAGGTTGAGGGCTTGTAAACAATAAACACACCTTCTGTTTTTCTGAGAACCTTATTTTTGGACCGCAGGAAACTAGCCGCCATTGTTTGAAATCTGTGAAAATTATACTCAAAGCTGAGGTTCTCGTGGGAACACATTTCATTTTGTTATTGGAAAATAACTTACATCATTTTCAGTTTTGATAAACGTCAATTTATCTTCAAAAAGTTGGACGGTCAACTTGGCGTCGATGTTGCCCTATTTCCGGGCTTCGACGTAAATAGGAGACCGTGTGAGTAGCCTACTAATGAGTCGAATTAATAATATTCATTTAAATTTGCCACCCTCATGACCATTTTTACCGTGTTTCTTGATCAGTTGTACATTCTATTTGACAGTGGCGATTGACGAATCCCTTGATCAATAAAGAAAATGAACCACAAAAGGAAACGCTTTTCATGAAAGTTTAATTAGTTACTTCGGCTTTGCTGGAAGACAAAGACTTAACCAAAAGTTCTTCCCACGCAACGAGAGGAAATAGAAGCTGGAATGTCTCGTTAGTGGTCTGTGAAAGATCGTGGCCAGTCATCTCCTTGAGTAGCTCTCTCGCCTGTCTAATGCAGCCAACAGATATAATGCATATGATGTCGTACAACAGGGCCTAGTGGTCTCTGTTTTGGCGATGGCAAAAAATATCTAAAGCAATAGACATCATTTAAATTGCACGATATCAGTATTGCCTTACATGCACGTAAAAAGTATTTCAAGCTCTTTTGCAGATCATTAGACAAACGTGGAATGTAGGACATTTCAGGCAGCTTGAGCCTTGACTTTTCTGAATGACCTAGAAGAAATAAAATACAGCGGAAGGTTGAGTCATATTCATAACTTAGGGATGATATCACCTGAGATATAATCTATGTCTTTTTAAGAGGGTGTAGTGTAGGTATGTTGAGATGAAACAAACCCATATGGTCTGACAACCTCGTGGGTTGCAGTGTCACTTGGACATCATCTGTTTCTCAGCAGTTTATTAAGAACATGTGGGATGAGACGGCCGTGATATGACTGATGTTGGGTTGGGCAGCTGAATTTTGTTACTGGCGCAATTTATCTTTAATGTACTGAGAAAATAAAACTTTGTTATTAGCCATGCAGGGTGCTGATAACTAAGAGGCAAAGGTTAGGCAATTAATGTAGTTATCTAATTAGAGTTAATGTAAAATTATGGAGTTTACCGCGTTTACAAAACCAGAGAGCAATTTATAAGTGAGTGCCAAAAGTAATCTTGAATTGCATAACATGTTGGTTTTGCTTTTCTGTGCTCTGTCAGATCAGACCAAACAGTTTAAACTAGCGCATCCTTCTCAATCAACCAGATGAAAAACTAAACCAATCGCAATTTAATCCCTCGCGTTTCACTGTGTTTCAGTACCGCTGTTCCGTCTGTTCTCGTTGGTACCCTGTGACACTTCCTTGTCAGGTCTTTCAGGCGAAATAACTATGCGTTTGGCTCTGCAACCTCGGTCAAAATGCGCTTTTTGGGCCGGCCATGGGGTCGATATTAGTGACTACCACAACAGACTTAGTGGTAAAAAAAAGGGAAGAGAAAGAGAACCACAAATAATCTTTACTTTGAAGAGAAATTGGTTGAATAGGGCAGTTTTCAACTGAGCAACGAAATGCCAAGTCGGAGTAATTACAATGGCCAATATGAACAAAGGTTCAAAAATCTTTAGCCGATGAAAAAAGTGCAACGAAACAAGCACATTTCCTGAAACGCAGAAAAACGTGGGTGACTAAGTCACTATTGGTTTTCGTTTTGCGTTAGATTGGTTGAAAGAATAGCGCGCAGAGCGAGGTAAAGTGAAGGCAAAGTAGCAGCGGATTACACTTATCACTGAATTAAAAATTTCTCTAGGGTTTTTTCATTCGCAAGAGTGATTTATAATCAGGTTGAGGGAGTAAAGACTGGCTCCATTACCAGCTGCTGTTCAGGAAATGATCCCGCTTTAAGAGACTCCATGAGCTCACACCCGTCTCCTGAAGAGATATTTTTATCGGAGAGGAACGAAGGACGTATTTGAGTTCAAGGGAATGACGAAAATCGAGCGCAAGGAATAGATGGAGTGCTTTTAAAGCAATATTTCAATGTGTGAGAGGGTTTTAACTACAAAGGAGACAAGTTGTTTTTTTATTTTTTATTTTTTATTTTTTGCCATCCGTCTCAAGTTTGAAGAATACTTTTCCAGTTCATCTGCTCTTTAGGTCAACTTAAAGCCTAATTGTCGATTGCAAGATTTCAAGGATCCCCAGCTTTGAATACTATTGCTCTAAACAGGAATAGGATAACGCCACATCACAGTGTGTCAGTCAAATTTCCATGTCTGAACGGGCAGGAAAGCAAAGCCATCAGAATGAGTGCGGTTTAAGAAATTTGGTTTTTAGAAACATCGATATGCGTCAACTGAGTTATTCTTATCAGTTGATTTCCCAGCGACAGACTACCGAAGGCGACGCCCATCCTAAAAATTTCCTGTTCCAGTATAAAACGGAAAACGATTTAAATCATCGTTGTCGATAATGAATAATTATGCTCTATTACCACAGCCAGCCGTTTGGATATTTCAAGCCTTCTTTTTTTTTTACAAGGAATGAAGTTTAACCATGCTAGTGAAAGGATCTCTGTTGATGGAGACATTTAGAAAGCACTCTGCATTGCTTCCAACTGTGTTCAAACGTGTTGGAAAGTTAGGTTGTTAGTTTTGCCTTCAGCTTCTGAGAAAGATGTAGATTTCTTGATTTCTGACATCCTTCCGTCGAAATATGGGTGAAAAAAAAAAAGAATATATAGATTGATAAATAAACAAATAACAGAGTTATTTTGTCAAAATTGACAAATATCTAAATTTTGGTGAATGTGATTTGTTAATTTGCTTCTATATTACAAGACGAAGATGTAAACTTGTCTACCAATCGCCCCAACCCCCACACCTGTTAAAAGAAAGTGTGCTAGCCAGACGAACCGTACAATAAAATTCAGAATGACTGGGTCTTTCGGTGTTTGTAGCGATTTAAAGCCGACGCCATAAAATCCAAATCAAACCTCTCCAACGCTCCGAGAGTGGTAAAATTGGACTATGCTACGTGGCTAAGCCGGATCAGCTGATGTTATGTATATTAAGCGTTCTTAGTGTATAATTTTAGACCTTATTGTATAGTCGTCAAGCTGTGGTACTTCAGTCGCGGCGTGACGATTTAAGTTATTACAATAACTCAAGTCCTTGTGTCACTTGTACGGGTATCATGAAAGCGCATATCAATATGTTTTCGAGATATTTGGTTGGTTCATTTGCATAATATTTCAGAGGGAAAAAGTCAACGACAAATTAACACAGTAAGATAAACAAGATACGTGTTGTGATTAGAATATACAAATGTTGATGTTCAGGTGAATGATGACTTTACCTATTTCAAGTTAACGGTACAGATCTATTTCGTATTAGTTTGAAATACATGACTCCAGTTAATTTTTGTAATAAAGACGAGAGTAACTACAGAGTCGTTATAAATAAGTCGTATTATATACATAAATTTAATGGATGGCGTCTTTGGGTAATATTTACGTGGCTTTTAACAAGCGCATTGTTCTTTCAAAGAGAGCACGATTGACCTATCGCACCTGTTAATTTTTTCCGGATCAAAATACTTTTTGTTTCAGAAACAATAAAAGATATTTGTCTTCAGAGTTCAAGGATAGAAGGTAGTGGTGATTTTTCGGTTTAAATGAGAAACATTTTATAATTGATATTTGTTTTGTTATATCGAAATAGGAATGGCCATGAATTTAGGTGAGTAGTTATGGAAACGTGAAGCTTTACCTGGAATGCATAGAAATTGTTTGGTTGGTTGATTTAGGTCTTTGAGCAGTTTCGGTTTGACAGATGAGGAAACTAATTCTTTTTGAAAAAAAATGAATATTAATGATAGGGAAAAAAATAACATCGAGGGAAATTGTAAGCCACGAAATCATATTTGTTAGCAAGAGGTTTCTTAAGCTGAAGAAATCTTTGTCAATCGAAAGGTGTTCAGTATTTTGATTAATGGACAACTGTCGCGTCTTACTGTACTAAAATTGTTCCAAAGGGGCTAAGGTTGCCTGGAAGCATTGGTATGAAAACAATAGATGTGAATTCACCATCAGGATATACTGTCTGAGCTTCGCGGAGTGTGGAGTGCATTCGGTATCAAACTGGTCTTAGACAGCAATTCTCGCTCGGAGTATATTTCGGTAAATTTATCAGATGGATGAAGTTCGTATGCCTTACCACATTGTTAATTTCTGGCTTTTGGACTTGACAGCAAGTTTCCTTGTATTTGTGAGCGCGTGGTACGGCAAAATAAAACGGCGAAGGATACAAACAGATGAAGTTGGCGATTATGTTATCACTGTAGTCAAAGAAAAGAAAGTAGGCGAAGGAGAAGAAACATCGGAGTCACTTTGTCAGGGATCATTACGTCGGCTTTTTCTGTATACGACGTATTTTGTAATGATGGCTGCCTCTGTTGTTCTCTTTGATTGTTATCCTTATTTTATGATATTTTTCCAACACGTAACAGTGATTTTCTGCATTTTGATAACATTTTTTCAATGGTTTCAACCTCGGTTGGCGATGTTCATTGGAGGGACTTTCTCAACACTCTGGCTTTTGAGCGGGGCCACGACATTTCGTTGGGTCCTAAATGATATTATAATCGCTTTTTTCGGGCTGCTTGTTGGATACTTGCACTTTAAAAATTTCCCATCGCTTCAAATGTTTCTGTGGCTGGCAGTGGTCTATGATGTCTGTCTGGTGAAAAACGTATATCTAGGTGTCCCTTCTCTGTTTAGCACAGGGAAAGGGGAGACAAACTGTGAAACGGTTTTTTGCAAGGCGTTGGAACTCAGTGAAGCTTGGGAATTGCCAACTATTTTCACATTCAAATTAGGCCCACGGGAGGAACACGTCTATCTTGGAGCTGGTGATATAATTATCGGCTGCATGGTATCGAACTTCTCTCAGATGTTTTTCAGGTCTTCAAAATACTTGTCTGCAACAGTTTTGACATACGCAATAGCCATTGCTTTACTGAGCCAAGTCGGCGACGAGCCGTATCCAGCTCTTGTTACAATTGTTCCTCTGTGCAGCCTTCAGTTGGTCTTGTCGGCCATTCTTTCCCACAAAACCAGGAGTTTGCTTTCTTTAAAGTGCTTGGATAGCGAAAGAGAGCGGGAAGGGCATGACATGAATATTCTTCTTTGAATCTACAAGGCATTAACAGCCTAAGGTACTTACGTCAGAAAACTTTGACAATCGGCTTTCAAATAATACCGAATACGAATATGAAATAATTGCTTGCAAGGGTACGAGGAACTAATAGTGTGAGAATATGCGAAAAAAACACCGCCCAAGGGAAGATTTGAGATGAGTCGTGAAAAGGTTTGCCGCGGGTTTAATAAATGCTAAACCCCTTGCAGACCTCGCGCTGGCTAGCGTTGATCAATTAAGGCATGATACTTTCCCGCGGGCCAGCAGATGCTACTGCCGAAGCCCTTATAATAGGAGTGTGCTCTCTGGCTAAGAAGAAAAACTTTTACACAAAATGATTAGGTTGTTGTAAACTCACGGTCAATAGGGAGAGAGAGAAAAGGTTACTTGTAGGGAGAACGTTCGTGCGCTCTTTTGCTCGTATTTCGTGACGGACTAAAAAGGTTTTTAAAATCTTCAAAGTAAACAACTTGTGGGTTTGACTCTGTGGTAATCTTAATGTGTCACATTTCATTTTCTTCACACAAATTAATTTTTTTTAACAGAACACAAACAAATTTGATTTTCCCGGCTTCTCAAGTGACAGCTGATTGATGGGATTTCATTCTAATGACTACTTCTGATTTCACGGGATGATTAGCACTTGTAAACTTTCGGAAAATTCAAATAAAACTTTGACAAAGTGGCACGTACTAGTTATATTTATTCAGGGAAAAATTGGGAAAAATTATCTGCTGGTTGAAAAATCACCCAAACGGAGAAAAACCTTAGAGTTGTCAAGGATAAACTATGGGGAAATAGTTTTACTTAGGGGTAGAGCGAGTTGAAGTAGCTGCCGCCGTGAAATGAGCAAGCCTTCTCCTTCGCATGTAGTCGCTCTTTGGAATGCCATGAAACGCGCCACTCAACAAAACGCTCACGTCCAAACCACAAGCCACATCTCCTTTCCCGATCATGGCCGGGGTTAAATGTCTAAGAAATCCTGGAGTCTCTGGTATGGGAGAGGAGAGAGGGGGGTGATTTGCGTGACATCCCATCACGCTGGCTACGAAGAAGACTATCGAAATCTGGTCTCTTTCTCTACCCCAAAATGTTTCACTCCGAAGAAATTCATTCTCCCTTCCAAGCCACATGCTTTTTCGACGTTAACCAATAATTGCTTGGGTTCGATATGCAAGACACCATTTGCGCCAAATTCTTTAATTTCTGGCGGAGCGGAGGGGTGGGGGCGGGGAAGGGAGGTAAGAGTGATTTGATAGACATTTCGAAAAACGGCGGCAAAAAAGACTATCAAAATGGAGGCCTTTCTCATGCATGATTTTAACAGTGCTTGCATTGCTCGCGTGGCTATTTGATCTCTGACACTGTTTCAGCGTATTGCCTTATCGTTCCTGTGGGAGTTAACCTTATTAGGATGTTCGAAAATGAAAGTTATTTGACACCCAGCTGAATACCGTTGATGATTAACTTAGCGCAGAATACATTTCGGTTATACGTGTTTTGAAACCTGTTAGCCAGTAACATAAATCAGCTATGTTCGTCCCCGAAGCAAGATAATTTGTAGACGCAGAATGTCAAGCTTTGTGATGTGGTTTTCAAACACACAGTAGGGAACAAATAATCAAGATTTCTGCCTGGATTTCTGTGAACTGAAGGATAAGGATTCTCAGCCATCAAGCTATCGGGCAGAAATTATGAACTCTGTAAACACAATCCTTCTCCTGATCGTGTACTTGATTCAGGTCTCTTTGGCGAATCGGTTTTTGTTGCCGTCTTTATCTTTACGACAGAGAACCCGAGGTAAGATACAATCCTTTTCCTCTTTTTGCTTTGTTTAATGGAAAAAATTGTGAATTTAATCATAGCATTTAATGGCGATTTTGGCGGAAAGTTTAGCATAAAGCCAGCAAAAGATTTGCTCTGCAGTTAAAAGCAAACAATCAGTTTATTGTATATGTATTTTAATTACTTATTCATTAGAATGGAATCATAGAGACTCCACAAAGAAGCTATAAAACGTTGTTATGTGTAGAGCAGTTACAACCTGACATTACTTGCGTGACGTGTAACTTGGGGTAGTGGATTTGCGTCACTCTAACATAATGTCATTCCCTCGTACGTGCGTAGGTGATTAAATTTTGAAAGACGATTTTCGTGAGAGAAAGTAAGTAGAAGGGGCGTGCAAACTTTTCCCCTCTGTTACGTTTCACGCTGATTCTTACACTCACTTATCTTACTAACATCCTAAGTCGCTCTCACCTTGTTGGAACTACGCGAAGAAGAACGGTAACTTAGGCTAAATGGGCAACAAAGTCCCGTAGATTGTTAAGAACAGGTCGAAAATACGACATATCAGAAAACAGAGACAAGACAGGCGATTTGATCGGCCTCACCCTCAGCATGCCGATCGGCCCTGTGATATGATATAAGAGGATACGATCGAATTTCGATTTCTCAGTCCAATCGTTAATTTCTCGAAACTCCCGTTCCGTACAATTGTCTTTTTCTTCAGAATTTTCACTTATATATTCATTTGAAAAGTATACAAAAACTCATTAATGTGAAAGTGTTCAATAAACATGAAAAAAAGAGAAACTCTGGATGAGGTTGTCAGAAATTCATCACTTGGTCCTTCCTCAGTTAAAATAGGCCCTCAATTGAAACAGAATGGGAAGAGAGATTTATTTCCACTGTCAAAAACCGAGCCTGAAACGTTGCGTTTCGAAACCATGTTTCAAATATGACATTTTTATTCATACTTCCTGACTATCACGAATCAAATCGCCACTAAGGTCTCGGATATTTGTTCCTCATTACAAAAAGAAAAAGAAAAGAAAACATACCTTTCAAGTTTTGATCACAAATTGCGTATCACAAAATTATCTAGTGTTTTGTAAGTTGATAAGTTAGTTAATTTAGAATTAATTCGTTGATTGGCTTGGATCTTATATCTGTCATTCATCTGTCTTATCTATTTACCGATTTTTTTCTTTTTGGCATAATCGTGATGCAAGATTTTTAGCATTTGCAGCATGAAAATGTTTTTCCTCCTTTTGTGAGTTTTCCTCTTCCTGTGATTGTTGTTCTGGTTGTTCCTCTCATTCTTTTCGTTATTATGATTGTTATTATTATTATTATTATTATTGTTATTATTATTATCGTCACTATTATCATTATTATGGGGATAGTATCACAGATTAGCTGGACAATTTCCAGTGACATCAACTGTTCAACTGTGACATCAATTATTACTTATAGTATTTAATGTTTACACAATATTTAATATTTATATTTAATTGATATCTAAAATAGTTCTATGTATGCATAATGTAGAAGTATTTGTAAATTATGACCCGTCTTGTAATTCAGTTTCTACTGCAAGAAGGCTGAATAAACGATCATCATCATCATCATCATCATCATTATCATCATCAAGCCACATCTTATGGACTTTTTTGTCTTAACTCTTTGACTTTTCTTTCTTCTTGTCAGATGTGTAAACATTTTCTTTAGAGTTTTTACCCCAGTAATTACATGTACTAGAGTAATATTTGTTCTCCTCGTAATTTCAAATCCTTCTGTACAGGTTTTGATGCTTCTCTCTCCTTTTTTTATCAACATTTTAATTATTATTATTATTATTATTATTATTATCATTATTATTTTTATTATTTTTTATTATTATCGTGGGCCTTGTCATTTGTTATTATAATTGCCCTTGTCACCATCATGATTGTAATTTTTCATTATTTTTATTGTTATTGTTATTATTATTATCATTATTATTATTATTATTATTATTATTATTATGGGCTTTGTCATTTGTTATTATAATTGCCCTTGTCACCATCATGATTAAAATTTTTCATTATTTTTATTATTATTATTATTATTATTATTATTATCATCATCATCTCGTTCCAATCCTCTAAGGGAGCGCCCCGACAGGAGCCAGAGGACCGCTGACACCTCACTCAATCCAGATTACTGATTGTCTTTAAACTGTTAATAAGACAGTTTTCTAGTTGGGCTCCAATTTCCTTTCTTCACAGGGAAAAACGGCGATAGTAAGTTCATTTGCAGTGCTCGTAGGCTCGATCTTACTGATTATACTGAGTTTCTTAGGAGTGGAAGTAAACAATATAGAAAAGACGAGCAAAATTACTCACCCACGCTCAATTTATTAAGAAAAAAAAGGAAAGAGTTCCTTAGGGAGATTTCAGGCAACCATTGATTAGTCCGCGACGTCATCGCACGGACCTACGGGCATACGTGGGATTTACGAAAACGAGTTTACACCCACGTATGCACAGAGACAATCGTGGGTGGGATAAATTTTGCTATGAACCAGCTGCTAATGGCCTGAATTTCTACTCCTGTGTGGCATGAAAACTTACACACGTTCGATTTTACTGTCCATTCAAGTTACTGACATAGCTAAGTAAGCCACGACTCACTCTAAATTTCACGATTAAAGATTGACCGTAAAGTTGAAATGTTCTTTTTAAATTATAGCTTCGCGTATGTTCATGCACTAATTTACGGTTTCTCTAAATGATCAGGAAAACCTTGTGGTACTGATAATTGTCGTTAATTCAAAGCGGGGTTCGGTCCGCTGGATTTAATCGATCAAATTCCGTAATTTATTACTTAGTTGTGCCATGAAAACTTTCATAAAACCTTCATACGCTATTGATGACGTAATCCAACACCTCGCAAAAACTTGAAAATTAGCAAGTATCATATCTAGCAATTTACCATAATCTTCTTTCAGAAGTGTGAAAGTCGAATGGTGTCTTTTTTTGTGCAGAAAAGAAATAAAACCGTTGCTTGGAAATGTTCAGCTTGTGTAGATTTTTGACCGACCGGTTTTTCCAGTTTTGTTCTTTGTTTGGCGAAGAAGCGCAAATTTACGTTGCTGCTTATTAAGTAAGACAGAGAGGTTCTAATGATTTCTCGACATGAAAATGTTTTTCGTGAGAAAACGAGATACCTATAAATATATCTTCGAGATTAAAGGCCAGATTTCTTTGCTTAAGATGAGTACTAATCGCGGAAGTTGAAAATTAAATCCTCTCTTACTTACCACTCCCCAAGAGATGTGGCAACCATTTTTTGTTCGCATGACATCTCCCTCTTTGATTCTTCCGACTTAAAACTTGAGGATATGCTTAAGTATTGCACTCATTTCTTAAACTTTGATATTACTTGAAGTGATTTACATCGCAAATGATTTTTTTGACACCCAACTTCAAGATGAAATGTAAACAATTGGGGCCAAATGAAGAAAAAAATGGTTAAAATTGCTTAATCATAGGTTTGCCAATATGAGATTTTACCATAAGATTTACACACACGCTTGTACTATCAACTTAATTTTTGTCCGATTTTGATGTGATTTTAATGAACTAAAAGTAGATCGGCGAATTTCCCCCTTTTTTCTTTGCTTCTTTTTTCTTTACATGTTTTTTACAACTAATATTTCCCAGTTGGTTATAAAGACTTCTCCTTCTTCAAAGCTGTTTTCTTTTTTACTGAAGGTTTCCAGGCGGTTTTCGAAGAGGATTTGGTCGCAGTGATATTTTATCTTAAATCATTATTCTTTACCCAAATAAAGCAAAAGTTTAACAATATGTTATCGATGAGGAAACGTCACCGCTGATGCAGCTATGAGCAACTGTTTAAACTTTGCGGCTTATTTGCACAAATTGTTTTTCCTCGACACATTTTGGACCACTTTTCAAGTATTGATTATAACCAGTCATAATTAATGCACTGTGTCAAATATCAGTGATGGAAAATTTTACGCTGCAATATTGCTAAGTTAGTGTTGTAAGCAGGAGGTGCATTACATTGGTTTTGGAAAAAACCTTGTGAAACGCAGAAGTAAATCCCTTAAGTTTACGCAGATTATAGGCGAAATTTTTTTACTCTCCATCCGCTCCTTCGAAACATGGGCGATTGAATTTACACGCCAAACAAATGGGATTGTTTTCATGTTTTGTTATGCAAATGAATTCGGATCAAAATTAGCATCAAAGAGGGAATTTGTAAATTTGAGGCCTTGTAGGCGCTTCGAGAAGATTCAAACGGAGCAAAGGGTTGTTTTGAAACGTTTTCTCTTGACGTTTGACGTCGATGGAATTATGTGGAAAGGTTCTAGGATCTCGCTTGTTTTATTATGTTCATGTTCAATGTTGTTGCCGGTTTTAACGAACGAGGGGCTATTCGGAAAGAAGTCTCCGTTAAAAGCGGGTAAGTTGAGTTAAGGCACACTGCCTAAACACGTTCGTCTACGACTTATTTGAAAGTTCTAATTGTGAACATTCTTGATCTTAGGACAAGGATTTTACGACGAAAACCAGTATGATGATGGGTATGCTGAGTATACAGGTAAGAAATAAATTTTACAGTACATGTTGGATGATATTTGGGATGGAAGAAATAGGCAACAATCAGTAGTTATAACTCAGTGTTCTAATTGCATTCGCGCTCAAGATCAAACCAAGTTGAGATCAATGTATTTCACCTCCCTTCCGTGATCAAAAGATTTGAATAATTCTCGAGACTTTTTATTACATCCCAAATCTTTTGATAGGGAACTGGCTAGTTCTAATAAGAGAGGAAGAATTTGCATTTTACTAATATAAAAGCGAGCGGCTCCAGTGCAAACTTTATGCATGATTTATCCCGTCGCTACATCGTCAGTTCTTGCCCGCCGGATTCGAACTGATCTCCATCCCCTACGGAAACATTAGAGTTGTTAGAAGTACTCTTTGTAAGCTTACGTAGGCCCTTTTGTGAAGCTTCTAAGTTGCCTTACAGTATTTTACCGTAAAGACAGGAAATAGAGGCAAAATGTTTTGAGTTGTCGAGTTCATTTGCATCGGTTTTGTATGCAGCTGCCTTGCTGCGTTTTGTGATGAGAAGAATCGTATTTTGTTAATAATTAAAACATCAACTTTGGTGTTTTTTGCTTTCTCGGTGGTGTACAAAACTATCACAACGAGGCAACTGTATGTGTTTTCTTGCATTTATTCAGGTTGTTTCGAAACCAAAAAATATGCCTTCGTTTGATTTCGGCGTGTGAAGATCATTTTATCTTAAGGTTGAACGTACGTGTTATTCTAAAAGCGATCGTTTGTTAGAATTGATGGGGCCCAAGTGTGAAATTTCCGAGTATTTTCTTCGTCGAAGGACGAAAATTACAAACAATTCATTCCGCGAATCCCTGCCGGTTGCCCTGAAAACAGTACATCGGAGCGATTCAAAATCGAGATTTTAATTTCCTTCGTGTTTCCATGCCTAACATTTCACTTTCTTGCTTGTATCCCTCTGGGGCGAAACGCAAATGTCCATAAATTTTCCCTTTGTAAAGCGTAGTATGTTTAGCGACGTCAATGCATATTTTCCGCGTTTTACTTTCACCAATCTAAAGGCGGGTGATGCAAATTATAAGTTTAGACCAAAAGCTAAAATTTTGTACTGTGAATTCTTTTTTTAATTTTTCTCGTCTATTAATTTGATGCTTACAAGTCGTGTGGTCAACATGTTAAATTGTGGAAATTATTCGCTACAATCTGGCTCCAATTTCTATAGTTTTCAAATTCAGTGGTTTGCGTGGTTTTAAGTAATTTTAAGTTCTTAGTTGCATAAGGAACAAAGGAAGTAATCAGTCTGTTTTTTCTTTTATTCATCAACTGAGCAGCTTTTTCTGGAATTCATCTGCAATTCATTCAGACATGAACATCATGTTTATGTCATGAAAATTCTTAAATTTTAATAAAAGTGCCATTTTTGCCTCCTTTGTATTTCTAAAGACAGGAAAAGTTCTCGCTGTATATGTGTATGGACTCATAATTTTGCCCGACCGGATAAAGGATTGCTCAGAATACTACTAATGAAAACGTTTTATAAGTTTTCACCTTTACGAGCGCCGTTTATCTGTTATAAGCATAGGCCAAAGTATGAGTGCCAAAGGTTTATGTTTTTAATAAGTAAGATTTATCAACGTCTTAGACAGAGAAAGCCACGGGCTTGATTTATTTATAAACATGGACTTACAGACAAAATAGTCACCCTCTTGTGTTATGGCAAATAAAGAATTTCGTTTTTCAGTTAATCATTTCAGCCGTCAACATATTTCGATCGTTTCCTAACTTTGGCGTCAGATATATCAATCTATATTTCCGGACTCCCTACCTTAAATTTGAGATGAGGCGATCTTTTACGATCGGAACTCTCCTTTGTCGGCGGAAAAAGTGTTTAGGCGATTTATCATAGTCGCGCAGGTACAATCTACATAATCAGAGGCGAACTGCTCTTAACACTGCTTAAAAAAAAGTGAAATAAAATGGAAAATAATAATTAATTAGGCTTGCTGTTATCCCAACTACAGTCAAGAAACGCTCTGTACGCTTCCTGGTTTCGTTTAAAAGGAAACTGCGAAAAAATATCACCATATTACAACAAAGGTTTTTACCTTTTTACGTCTTCCGTTATTTATTATCGCTTCCTTCTTTATCAGAGCACACGACGGTTCCTCTCGCAGATGTTTCGGTTCTGACCGACTTGAACAAAATTTTTTTTAATAGGTCTCGCGCTAACTAGACATCCAAAGGAATAGAAAGCGCCATGTAAGCTTGCAAAGCTAATAGCATAGTATAGGTGCGAAAAGCCAAATTATCAAAAACAATTTGTTCTGTACGTGTTTTTTTTTATTAGCTATAATGTTGTTTATTTACACGACAAAACTCTCTTAGGAAGATCGCGGGTCCTATGGGAATCTAAAACCTGTGTATTCGGAAAAATTTTTAGGGCAAGCAAAGTGTGTTAAAGGTAAATCTCGTTAACACCCAAGCTTTTTTCTATAGTTAATCTAAGAGATCACAGAAGGGTCTGTGAACAGACATTGATTGTGAAGTAAATCTGAGAATACTGAATTACGTTCGAACTGGAGCCACTTTTCTCCTTTTTTATGTTTCTCGATTAAGATATGGATAAGATTTGGGCGTGAAAAGGGGGTTTATGTGATTATTATTTAAACTTCGAGCAGTCACTCTTCTCTGGTGAAGTCCGTTGTAGGAGTTAAAAAAAAAAAAAATCGGTGAAAAAACAGTGATGCTAGCGCGCCAGACCCGCACGGAGCGCTAACATCATTTTCTGAACCCACAGTTTGAAAATAGCATATTGCATTTTTGTTTTGTTTTAATGGATTTAAAAAACCCCATGACCTTCTTCTACATCTTTAGAGGGTCATGTATCGTGAACTACAACAGTAAATTGAAATTCATGCGTTTAATTCACAGGGGCTGAAAAACGGACTTATTCCGCAATGCAGCGGCGTCGAATGCAGATTCAAAATGTGATGCAAGACGAACCACTAGAGAGGAAGGAAAGCATAGAGGATGTTTTATTACGGGAGTTAACCAGAGGAGAACATGATAATCAGGGTAAATACTATCCTTTATCGCATGGAAATAGACCTACGTAGATAGTATAATTATCTAGTGAGCCTCTTATTGGGATTTTCTTCCTATTTAAGCGGCCTATTGGTTCAGTATATAGCAACCCGTGAGAGCTGCTTCAGTGGTCCTTGCTCCATCAATCTGATGCCTAGTGTGAAATATGATTACACAAAAGCGAGGCATTCTCAATTTCTCAGCTAAGCTTTTTTTATTGCGAAAACTTTGTCACATGCCGTGATGGACTTTGATTCTTAAACTCTTAAACAGTTTAACTTCCATTTTGCAGAAACTTACGATGAAGAATATGCTAACAAGATAGAGAAGAGCGATAGAAGATTTTCAGACTTTGATAATGAAAGAAGAAAAGAGAGTTTTGATCAATTGCCAAAGAGAACATTCCTGTCTGATGAATTGAAAGGTAAGCGCATGAGTCTGAGTGCAGGCTACGGGTTAAAAAAAATATTGAAAAGATCAAACCCATTCTTTGGTTTGTCAAACCACCCATAGGCGACAGCAGTTGAAATCTCATTGCGTCGTTTTGCGGAGCCGCATGTACAGTTTGGCATTCCTTTGTCAAAGCACACTGAGGTGTCCACTCCATTCTGCAAATTCGCTTTTGATTTGTTTATTTTCACTCACCACTGCTCCATTCTTGAAAAGCGATGCAATCAAGGAAATACGGTATATCTATAATTATGATCTATTTTATAAGACATGAGGTTAATCAAAAGCTTGGCAGGGCGTATTGCCCAGGATTAAGCATTTTTTCAGTATTCATGCTCATGTAATCCATTTGCAAAATCCTCTAGGGGAGGAGGGGGAGGGGGGGTTTGGGGATTGGTGGTCGAAAATATAAGGTTGTATGGTTTCCCATGACAGTACTGTAGAACTGATCAGAATCTGCTTAACTGAGAAGTCAATTTGATAATATAAACAAATAGTTTACCAATGTGTGAAGTAATTACTGTATGTTGTTGATTTGCGGTTTGATGGAACCATCTATGGTAAATATATATGAAGTACGTTTCCATTTCCTTCACTCGTTATTCCGTACCTTTGTTAAATCCTTACCGGATCTTTTTTTTTTTAACAGAGCAAATTGAAGAAGGGGTTGGAGACGCCATTGATGATTTGGCTTTAAAGAGAGAAGAGGAGAAACTTAAAAAAGGACAGAAGAAGAGAAACTTTGATCATTTACCAGCTAATGGAGGTGGGCATTCATTGTAATTTTTGCAACATTTCATGTTCAAATACAAATTAGTTAGAATTGTTTTGCTAGTTTTCAGAAAGACTCTGCTTTGTCGCTTACTCGTTTTGGAAATGGTGCAAATCGATGTAACTTTGGAGGTGCCACTTTCAGCTAAAAAGTGGGCAAAGAATGTCGAAAAGACGACTTGTTTCCAGTTATGCAGATTGTTTAAATTTAAAATTTCTGTCCTCTTTTGTGTACTATCAAATATTTTACCAAAGGTCTAAAGTAATAATCCTATTGCCACTGTCGATGTTCACAGTCGGTGTTTAGCGATTATTTCAGATACCGAAAGGGGCAGCATTTATTGCAACATATGACATGCATGCAACATAGGAAATGGAAAGTCATCTTGTGATGGCTTTGCCCACTGTCTCACTTTTCAGTCACTGTTAGCGATTTCTTCACGGATTTTTCCCGTGTTTTCTCGCAGACCTTTTCGAAGAGGACATCGTCATGGACCGTCGCTTGCGTTCATGGGTGACTGGTCAGGTTGACAAGAGAGACGCCATCAATGACGTGTTTTATTTGTGGCCTACAACTATACAGGGTGGTAAAAGAATCGTCAGAGTACCCTACATGAAATCAGAAGAATTTAGCCTAGGTAAGAACAAAGTTTGGAGCCTTTTTGTGAATTAGTGAATTAACAGTTGATGCTTGGAGACCGCAGTTTTACGATTTAGCTGTAATTAGTAAGCACTATGTGGTGTCTGTCATAAAAACATTCTCCCCCTTTTATCACGGAGGTTTTGAAAAAAATAAAAAGTGCTTGCTAATGAAATTTGGAACGCTGTTGGAGATTTCGGGCAACCCTTCGTGTTACTCTCGAGATAAAACCTACAATTCTCTCAAACGATTTTAATCAGTCAGTCTCGAAGAGGTGATCTATACTTACAACTGTATGCTGCGCATCAGCGCTGAATTTTTCTTGAAGCTTCGTTAAAGAAATTAATTGTAGCTGTAAGTCATTATTTTCAAACTATTCGAATACAGTCTATACGGGCCTCATTTTTACTTTAAAATTTTTTTTTTTTAATTTCGCAGACCCTACCAAGATGGAATGCTTAAATAACGCAATTAATTCTTTCAACAAGTATACTTGTATACGTTACGAACCTCTGGCAGAGGACGCAAATGCAGACCAAGTGGATCACGCGCATTTTATAATAAATCAGACCATGTAAGTTAACTTATTCTTAGACTTAAACGTATCTATACAATAACTTCGTTTCATTGAGAAATTTCGATTCAATTTTGTGAAGGTCTCAATAATTATCTGTTAACATCTCAAAGATTGTTGACTGGGCTGAGAGTGACAGACGTTATTCTCTTTCTCTCTTCAGGTGTTACTCAAGTGTTGGAAGGCAAGGCGGGAGGCAGGACATATCCATTGGAAACGGATGCGAAAGGGTCGGAACTTGCATTCACGAGATGATGCACACGATAGGCTTCATTCACGAACAGTCTCGACCCGACAGAGATAAATATGTCAGGGTCTACTATGACCACATAAAGCCAGGTGAGTGCGTTGACTATATTGACTAAGTTGAGGTGACGCAATGTTTGCCGCGCCGGGTTCTGAATCGGGAGGTCTGGGCAGGAGCGCTGAGCAGATCGCTGTGTCGCTTTCATGCGTAATAAATACAATGACACACACTTTCCACCAAAGATTATAAATGGGTACCAGCGAACTGCTAGGTTAACGTGGTAAGAATCTTAACCAGAAATTGCTATCAAGTGTTCACTAGCTTGTACTCAGCTGGCGGAGATTTCGTGTGGGAAATAGAAGTTATTTTAAGGGTTCCTGTTCTACCTTATGCATCCTTTTCAAGAAAAAGTATTACTTACTGAGAGAATCTTTGGCTGAACATCGGCACTGTTTTCCTTACTAGGTTTAGAACATAATTTTGAGAAGTATACAGTAAGGGAAGTAAGGACGCTGCCTACAAATAGAGGTTACTACGACTATGACGTAAGTTGAGTAATTTTATATCATCAGCTGAGTTGATAACGTAAATTGGCCACCTTTAAGAGTTCCAAAGCTGACGCTTAGAGCGTTATCCCTTCGTCGGAGCAAAAAGAGAAGGGCTCTCCGCCCTGAAGAAGGGCTAACGCTCGAAACGTCAGCTTTCAAACTCTTAACAGTGGCCAACTTTACGAAATCTACTCAGTTGATAATACCATATTACTTTGTTTTAATCTCCTACCGACCCAGCACCATCTAAGGATCTTTAGAAACTTACCCCCTTTATGTTGTAAATTGGTTTTAACATTGTTTCAGCCAATTAAGGTTTTGTTTGTTTTTGGATTAAGCTCTATCATGTGCTTTGATTTTGAGCTATGCTGGAACATTTTATGAGTTCATAACACTGATGATGTGTATGATGCGCGTACAATGTGTATGATGCGCGTACAATGTGTATGATGCGCGTACAATGTGTATGATGCCCGTACAATGTGTATGATGCCCGTACAATGTGTATGATGCGCGTACAATGTGTATGATGCCCGTACAATGTGTATGATGCGCGTACAATGTGTATGATGCGCGTACAATACGAATTGACCGTGATAAAAGTCCCAAAATCTGCGAGTAAACTTCATTCAGACTAATTAAGTTTACTCCAGAGGAATTTCTGTCACGATTTGGTACCAGAAGCGTCTTTCGGTTTACACAACAGTAGAATAAGGTATTAAAAAGATCTCAATTAAAACAGTGGGTTTAAAATTTTCGGAAACGAGAAAACCAGAACATTCTTATTATAATAGTAAGAATTATAATAATAAGAATGTTCTGGTTTTCTCGTTTCCGAAAATTTTAAACCCACTGTTTAAATTGAGATCTTTGTATCCGAATATCTTGAACAGTTTTCTTGTTTAATTTTTTAATGTGTACACTCTTGTGATGCAGATCAAGTTCAAGGAAATATTTTGACAACTGTTTTGGCATAGTTGTCGCCGAATTTTTCGATCTGTGTCACCGTTTGAGAAGTCAAACTTTTCAAGAATGATTGATGAGTGAACGATTAAACATTTTGTTTGTGTTGAAGTCAGGCCAAGGTAGTCAGTTAAGTGTCATTCACGTTTTATATTACTCGCTTTTTTTCTTCTTTCAGTCTGTTCTACATTACAATAATCACGCATTTTCTAAGGACTACCATGACACGATCCAATCGAAAGAGAACCCAAACAGGAGGTTTGGTCAACGGGAAAGCTTCAGCAGACATGATATAAAACAAATTAATCAGTTGTATGGATGCGACGTTGAAAATCTTAACAATCTTCTCCAAGATGTTCCATTTAATTAGACAACTACTTCCGCAAAACGATCCTTCAAGTTCTTGATAACCTTGTAACTCTCAAGGTTTCACAAGTTATTCTCTTCTTTCACTCTCCTACAATTTTCCTTAATGTAGTTGAGCCAATTTAGTGCTAGACATCCACCATGCGTTTTTCTATTCTTATAACATGTGCGCTGGATATTGCATTACAAATTCGAAGCTGTTAGAGCAGTTTTTAATTACAATTAAGTGTCGAAACCGCAGAAGCAATGTAACTACCACTACCAATGAGAACTCAAAACAAGCAACTTGATTGAAGCGCGGGAAAATGCGAGTGACCAAGTTGTTTGTTTTGCGTTTGATTGGTTGAGATGTTGGTGCGAGTTTTCTAGACCAATCACAGAGTGAATTAAAGCAAACCCAAACAAAATCAGGATCACCTTTGATGCTTCATTGAAAACTACTCTAACATGTTCATGATTTATGGGAGTCAAAAGTTTAAACAGGTCAGACGTCGCAATTTTCATGTGCTTAACTTAAATAACAATTGGGGTCGACCCAGTTAATAAAGTTTAAATCATTTACTCAATCTTTTAACTTAACAACTCAAATTTTTACTTTGGTCAAAGTGCAACGTACAAATAAAAATCTAATAAATTGAACAGATATTCGGCACATGGAAAGTTCGACGTTTGAATCAAAGTCGCTCCACGGTCGAACTTCCCGTGAGCACATGTCAAGCTAGAAGCTTGAGCTGGGCCTTAAACGACTTGAAGGACCGTTTTTGCTCTTGTAGAAACCCAGGCCCGATACACATACTAATCGATCATGTGACTCTGTAACGCTTGTCACGCAATTTTAAATTTATTTTCAGAGTAAAGGGAATTTAAATAATAGTTTTTTTACGGCTAACGAATGTTAAGCTACTGGTTATGTATGTAGAAGGTACATTGGATTTTTGTTACCGGTGCTCGGTATCCTTGCGTTGTGTTTTCTTCGTTTCCAGATTTAAACGTCAATAATCACTGCAAAGTGTGATCATTTGTACTCGAAAGGCGATTGAGAATTTATGAAGATTTACGGAAACTTTCTTATGGTACAAAGGTTGCATTTTGTTTATTTGTTATTGTTTTTTTTGGTGTTAGGTTAACACTCTCCAATACGTTCCCTCTAATTAATACGGTAAATGTTAGCAGCCAGCAACAATCGATTCTCCTTAAATGCTAATGAAAATCAGACAAGAAAAGAAAAAGAAAAAAATGAAATGCAAGTGGCAATGTCTAATTGCTACTAATGTAGTCACAAAGACGTTTTTTGTGGCTTTGTTGACTTTATTTTCAAACAAGAGTTAGTTGCTAGGAGTATATCACCCTGAGGGTAAAATGATATTTCATCGAATTCACTGGCTCATAAAAAAGTCTTTCACAAACGGGTTATCTAAATGTGACACACCAATATGGCTGACGTTTCACTGTTGAGGTCAATCAATGTAGATATGTGATAATTCAGTTATGGCTAATTTTGTCCGTCTTTGCTGACAACAGCTGTGTTCAGATAGATAATAAAGACAGAGTTTCTTCATTACTCAGTTTTACATCATTGCTTACTTTTTACATTTCCCGCGAAAGAACAATTTCTCCGGCAAATTTTCTTTACAAAACCTCCTTGGCAATGGAGATAAAAAAAAAAAAAACAGAACAAGTTAAGCCAGTTTTCTAGCAAAGCATACTGCAATTTACGAGTCATGGTAGTAATACTCCCACCAAACTAATTTCGGTTTGAATTATCATCGATATAAATTTCTCTAATTATGTCCTAAACCTGCTTTTGTGTGTGTTGTTGATAAAGATCGGGTAAAACTGTGCTTTTAGGAAATATGTTTTTTTTCTTTCAGTTTCTGCTGATGTCATACAACATCACAAACATTACGCCCTCAATTCTTTGTTTTGTAACTATTTTCTCTATTGGTGGGCGGTGGGCACATAAACTTGCCTTCGTACAAGCAGTTGGTAACATAGGAACGTAGCACGTAGCACGTTTGAAGTTTCTCAAGCGAAGAAACCCGAACGCACGTTGCTGCATGACCGCAGCCTTGAAATTCCAGCTCTGAGTTTGACTTCCGATTGTTTACTGTCAGAAATACTGTCATAAAAATATTGTGGAAGTACACAATTGTTCGTTGATGGATAATGTGTTTGATTTCCGACTGCTGCATGGTAACAAAGATAACCCTACTCTTATCCTGGCAGTATAAGAACAGAAAACTTCTTAAATTAGGGAAGATAACATTATGATAACAACTAAAACGGATTATTTGCACATTGCTACTCGAACTCTCAGTGTTCAAATGGATAACATTAAGCTTCGTGTCACTTTGGAGATTTTCATAGAACACCCCGCATATCTGAGTGAACAGTTCTCTTAAATTGTTCTTTTAAAAATAATTCATTGGGGCCTCTGAGTTTTAGTATATTCTTAAACGGTTTGATCAGTGCAACCATAATTGACATAAGATAATTATTTCAGGCGGTCTCTCTCGATCGAACTATTGTATTGTGTAAATTCCGATAAAAAGGTTGCCTCTGATCTTTGGAATGACCAGTAAACGTAAATTTCGTCGATTACAGAGTTCCCGTCTACCGCCCTTACTGTTAAAAGTAGGTTTTTTTTCCTGCTTGGTCCGTCATTTCCAAGCGTTCGTTTGTGAACATTCAATACATTTACTGCCTCCTTAGTACACAGAACTACAGCTTGAAGTTACGTAGATCATTAGCCACCAGCTTATGAAAACTGTCCTTTGAAAGACAAAGTCCACTTAAACGAAAGGCATTTCATTCGCCCGCACATTATCAGTGAGCGTCATCCATCATTAGGCCATCGGCATGATCGCCATTTTATGGACTGTCCAAAAGTTCTTCCTCGGTTTGTAAGACCCTCAGGGTGTAATCAGGACACTATTATACAAGGATAATATCTCTCGTTACTTTGAAAATTAATAATACCTCAGAAGAACTGTCTTCAGAATTAAAAATTAACTTAAAACCTTGTCTAAGCGAGTGAAACTAAACTATAGTGTTAAAAAAGAATTCCAATTTGGTCTGTTGCCATTTTTTACTGTTGAAGAAAAGTGCACGGTGCTTATTGGGTGGAGTTTTTGACGCTATTATTAAACCTTGATAGCGGATCAGCTGAAAGTTGAGCAGGCTTTGTTTAACGATTAACAATGACCGTATATGGCTACTTTGGAACAATGGCGGAAACAGCTTTAAAATACACGCGGGATTTTTCAAATTTCCGATTATCATACGAGCGGCAGATTTAAACCATCGGCAAAACTGATGATACGACAAATCCTCCCCGTGGGGGTGATTATGGTAGATTTTTTAGGATGCAAATAGTCACGGTGGGGTGGATGGCGGGCGACTGTAGCCTTCGTATCTGAAGTAAAGAAATGTCACCGTTTTTTCCTTTACATTGCTTAAAAC